GTCAGCCTCTGCACTGTCAATCGCAGGAGCAACACTCACAACGTCGACCGATCCGATAGCCTGGGTACGTCATCGTCGCCGAACATGTCAGCCCACGTCTGCCGATCGCCAAGTACTTGGAGGAAGCCGAGAGGAATTCCAATGGAGGCTAAGCGCAACGCTAGACCAGAACCGCGCGGACACCAGGTATCCGCTCTGCTACCTCTCGCACATCCTCACATAAACATCTGTACGGTACTTCATATTCATCCACTCCCTGATCTACACGGAGATGGACACGTAGGAAGGGTTCTTCGACGGCTGGCCGCCTCTGGAGTGCTGTCGGCCATGATTGTACCTTGACTGCGCTTCAGCCGCAGGATGGTCACGTTGACGTACCGCACTGTCCTCGCCTGCGAACGCTCCAAACCAATTTTACCAGGAGACGGTCATACTAGTAGCAGAGTTTTCGCGTGGTCATGGTCCTGCACTTCAACTGCGTGTAGGTGCGACCGGAGTCGGGGCGCGAGCGGAGAAGGTGGACCTGCACCTTTAACATGATGAGGGGAGTGCGAAAATAGCTGTGGTAAAAGAGCACAGCATCTTGCAGGCTGCAGAGCGATTGAGGAGATATGTGGATGGACACGGCAGGGATGGTGGCTGAGTAGGATGCCGCGGTTGGCCGCAACGTTCGACGTTGACGGTTGCACTCCTAGGACGATATGGGAATGTTGAAATTTTTAGTAGAACAGCACAGCTTGGGTTTTCAAGTGCCAAGTGCCCATTGACATCCCACCTCGAATTTCAGGTGGCGGTTCAGGAGATCTCAAGGGATTGGCACTACATATGTACATACCGCACCGTCAACACGCACCGTCTAAATCATCATCGCTGAAGCGCTTTCAACCACCTGGCAAAGTCTTACCGAAGTGTTGCTAGTCTCCGAGTCGCGGCACGAATGTGCTGGACAGTGCACGGGACTTTCGCGGTGTCTGTCGAATGGAACACTTACGAAACTTCTGCGTACGCCCAATACGAAGTCCTACAGGAGGCTACTCACCACTTTGTAGGCCCAGGATCCAGTTCGATGGGCTCTAGGACTTTGTTCCCCAGTCGGTGGAGGGAAATGCAGACAGCAACGAAGCAGCAACAAAGGGTTTTAAGAGGCACAAAGAACGCTAGCGCGCTATGTATGCCAGCCGAGACGGAGCAGGAGCGCACAGTCGGCAGGTCTGCTCGTTGTTCCGCTCTGTCTCTATCTCTGTCGCTCCCCTGTCTCGTCCCATTACGATTCCTGCCCCTTGCGCTGCATGGTCACCGTTCTATGGCTGTTACAAATCGGCGCCAGCACTCTATCATTGTATTGTATCGCTCGGAATGGGGGATCCTCGCGAAACGTCGTTCGGCCGACATCCGTATGTGACCCTTCTGCTCTGTCTCCGCGTACCGTATCTCCCATCTCCTCGTCGCGCCCAACGCTACTACCAATACTTTCCATTCTGGACGCCGCATTAGCGAATCGCCCAGTGGCCGGCTACATAGGCTGCTCTGGGACCTGATCTTGTAACGACTGGTGGAGGGTAAATACCCGTATGGCGAGTCTTCCCTGGGTCCATCTTATCCATTGCTCTCGTGCACGCCGTCGTGGAATCCACCTGAGGACATTTGACGTCGATGAAGGCATGCCTGCGGTGTCGTTGGTCGGACGACGAAGTAGTAGGCTCAAGTGGGCAGCCAAGAACCTCGGCTTACCTTTGTGATTGTGATTTGACGCAAGGTGCCCTTCGAGCGGATGTCCCATCAGGAAAATAAAGTGGTATTTTGCTGACTGCTCCATACAGACAGCATATATTATATGAATATGTCCATCCTTGAGGTTGCCTCTGTGCGACATCGTCAATCGGTCGCGCTCACCCCATGGCTGGACGCGTGCGTTCGAGCCCACGTAAGAATCGGTGGTTGCGGGCCTTCATGACAGCATGATCGCGACGCATCGCACTGTTAGGGATGTGCAAGGCAGCCGCCGACGTTGTCCCGGAACTATCTGAGCGGCAGACATGAACATATGTACACAAGAACCCCGCTGGACCTCGAGTCGTGCACATCGTGCATCCAACGCAGCAAGTAGTCACGTCTTCCGATCTGTCTCAATCCAACACTACTCATCGACGGTATCATTACAACGAATACATACAATGCTATTCAGCGAGTCAAGAGGAGCTGACGGAAAACAAACGTACGAACCACAAACAAATCTCAAGGTGCGGTCCGCAAGGTAATTGCAGGTATTCGAACTCGTCCATCCAGTCCTCCGTAAAGCGGGCCTCTCCTTCGCGCACCTCTAGCGGACCCGTGGGGCCAGCCGAGTACTGCATAGGAAGAAGCGCGTCTTCGTCAGGCTGAGGAACGCCGCTCCTGCTCGCCCCAGCCTCGGCCCCGATGCCCTGCTCGTCCACTTCTACGCCGCCGCCGCCTCCCAACCGTCCTCGGAGGAGTGGCATTGTTGCGCGGGTGCGCAAGATCAGGAAACTAGCAATTGCTGCGCCCTAGCGCACAAGCAGCGAGGCCATGCGCATGAATCCTATCCTCAATCCACCCTGGACGATGGGCGCGATCTGAAGTCGCATTGAGTCTGTGGATCAAGACGGCAAGACAGTCCTGGCTCGGCGCTTTACCTCTGCAACATCTTCTTGTTCACGACTACTTCCTTGTCTTATGTCTCTGCTCCTGTTACACGCAGGCAGCTCAGTGAATATGACTATATAGGTTTTCAGTTTGGAGGCCCTCAACGAGCCAGGAAATGGCCCCGACCCCGCTAAACGTCCCGGATATGCGCAGATACCCGATGCTTAGACTTGGACATCGAGTTCGCGACCGAAGATACTCTGGATGACGGTGCGCGGTGAGCTTTGTCGTGTTCTCTATGCACTTTCTGATGCTGAAGGAAGGCATCTCATCGACGAACCTTAGCAGTACAATAACCGTTACGAGGTATGTTGAACACAAACCTGGGCAACCCTCAGGCCTTTAACCTCGTATTCTGTCCCAATCTAAGCGCACACTCCTGATTGTGCGGTACTCACGGACATTGATCCAGGATGCTAGGTTCTCATAAACACCGATTACACACAACGAGGCTCGTACCTACCAATGCGAATGGTTTCGTGATGTCTGGGCGGCACGATGAACACAAGACTCTGCCTTTCACGTCAGTGGGGAGTGAATAGTCTACTCGGGGTCATGCACGCATAACGAGACATGAGAATCGTACGACCTGAGAAAGTATAGATTTCGGTTGAAAGACCCCCACCTGGACAGGTTGCTCGAGAAGCAGCCAGCGCCACCAAACAGCGTCGCATGGAAGCTTCCTCCTCCTGCTTGCCTGTCTTCAACGGGGGCGTCCTTCAGATCCAGCGGCGGTTCGAGGCGAACCGTCTGTCACAATGCATTTATGAAGCCGTAACTGGAAAGTCAAATGGATTGAACGTACCGGTATGCGGATGACGAGACGCGCAGAGTCCTATATGAACCTCTGCAACAGCAGGCAATGCCAACCAAGCAGCGACACAGACTCGTTGCGTTTTGCCTCGCCTCTTGCTCCCGCAAACTTCAGGTCTAGCTCTTGACTATGAAATTCTTCCCTATATTCGCGTTGCTCTCAACCGTTTGGGTTGTATCGGCATCACTCCCTGAGGATACCAGCCCAACGAATGCCACGGCGGTGGACCCTGACGCGCTTAGGATTGTCTGCAATTGCCAAGGTAGATGGATCAGTTATTGGAATAGCACAATCGTGGTGCTCAGGTTTTCCAAACAGGTACCTTGTTGTCCGTCTCTGACGTTAGAGACGCATTCATCCAGGGGGCAATCGGTGTTGGCGAGCAGGCCATTCAACCTGGTGGCGGGTACGAGACCACTATCACACAGCACTTGTCGAGCGACCCCCCGACAGACAGAGAATCGCCGCAGGGGCTACCCCTCTGTATTCTTCAACGATGAGGTTCGTCTTAAGCTATGTCAGGGGTTTAGGGGGCGAGGCTTACTGGGATCAATCCAGGGTTTCGTTTTCCCGGGTTGTTCTGGTCGCTATGAGGAGTATCCTGTCTTACAGGGTAAGGTCTTCGGTATAGATAGGCCCGCGCCTCCGGGACCACACCGCATCATCTTCGAGGGGTTCAGCAACTCCAAAGGCGTATTGAGATTTTGCGGCAAGTGCGCATACTTATCGATTGATTATCAGCACTCATTGACTTTTGAATAGGCTGCGTGACGCACACCAACGCGCCGACCCGCAAGGGGTTTCTACAGTGCACGTGATTGCCGAGGTATATGAGAGTCGAGGCGTACGTGGGATTGACATATGGGCGGTAACAAGGGGCCTATGCAGGGATGAGTCGAAGGAAGGATGTATGCAGGATTGCTGGAAATACATGTATCGCATCGCAGATCGGCTATCACGGAGAGAACTAAGGGCCTGTTCGGCAAAGAGTTGGAGTTACGAGTCACCGGCATTTTGTCACGTGGCGACACTTCCGAGGATTTCTGCGCGAGTTAGAGTTACAGGGGCGGAGTATCCGTGAAATCCGGAGGAGACAAGCGCCCTGAACTCGTACATGTATCTAGTAGTATGTATACCGATAGCTGTGGCTTATCAGATGGGCTCTGCTTCATCCCTGCTTCACCATGGTCCGCACAAGAGCAGCTGTCAAAATTCACCAACCTATCATCGGGCTCATATAGAGCGCCGAAGACAGGCTATAATAGCAGTAACTGTCATTGTTTTGACTAGGCGGGCCTCGGTCACTAGCTGCTCTAATCCCTCAAGTAGGATGGCCTCAGATGTCTGATCACATTCCACGTTGATCATGGTAGCCATCCCAATACTCTAGAAAGAGAGAATCAAGCAGGCTGCCAAAAGGGTAGAGCCTCGAGACAAGTTACGACGTGCGCGTGAGCTCTGATAACAACCGCCCGGAGTTACTGGGAGGCATCCCGAACGCATGCACTCGCCTGAGTAACTCGAGTTCTCTCGAGATTGAAAACCGAGATATTA